TGGGGGGGCAATGTTGGAAAGGAGGAGGAGGAAGGATGTCTTCGTGGTTGTACTGTGTGGTTGTGAACGTCGAGGGAGGTGATGGCTCCCCCATCTTGGGGCTGAGCCTGTTTTTGCCCCGTTCTTTTGGCCCGGCTCCTTCCCTGGGGTGGCAGGAGGGGCTGAGGTCCAGGCCATATGTATCTGCATCTGCCCATAAGGAAACCAAGCTGAAGGCATGGGGGCCGGGAGGTGGCCAGACCTTTCCTAAATGGCCATGTGGTTTCTGGTGGACTGAGTCTGGACTTTTAAAAAATATCCCTGGGTGAGAGGTGGGGATAAGCTGCAGACCTGGCTGGGGGCCTGGAGGCAGCAGTGTGGGAATCCTTGGCATGGAAGCTGCCCAGAGCCACCACTTTTTCCCCCGTCCAGCCCAGATCCGGGCAGCACCCACACTGCCCACCCTCTCATCTGCGAAATGGGGGCATGGGCCTGGGTTCCTTCCAGCTGTCAGGCACCGATGGGGATGGGGGCTTTGCAAGGCCTTGATAGCTCCTGCCTTTCAAAAGCCCCCACCCCGGCAGGCTGGCCCATGTCATCAGCTGGGGTACTGAGAGAACCCCGCCCTCTGCCCCTGGGCTCCTGCCTTGCAGCTCTGTCCCAGCCCATGTGTCTCTTTCTGTCTGGCACTTCAGCTGAAGTGCCCCAGCTCCGGTCAGACCTCCTCAGCTGGTCTGGCCTGTCTGTCCCCAGTTTGCAGGGATCCTCAGAGGGACCCCGCTGGGCTTTCTGGCCAAAGCCTGAGGTCCTGGGCCCGGACCACCTCTGGCTTCAGGTTGTGGCTGACCCCAAACTGCCAAGGACACCAGACTCAGATCCTTCTGAAGGACGCCAAGCCCCAGCCCCTACTGCCCTTTCTTTGAGCCTCAGTTTCCCCTACTGTAAAATAAGGGAGTTGGAGTCTTCATCTCCAGAGTCCTTTCTGCTCTAAGGAGCCTTGGCCCAAGCACATGAGATTGATTTAATGGGCAGAGGTGTAAAGCTTTCCACTCACACTGGGCAGGGCAGGGGAGATCAGGGCTCCCAGGCCTGGCCAGGTCAGAGGGAGGCAGCTGGTGCCGGGCCTGGGTGCCTGGAGGAAGGGGCAGCCAGGACAGCGGCCTCGGCAGGCTGGACCCCCCAGCAGGGGCGGTGGGAGCAGAGCCCCGTGTCCCAAGGGGCCCCAGCCTTGTGGGTCAGCCCTGCGGGCTGCCCTCCAGATCTCACTGGGCTTCCCTCCTGTGCAAAGGCAGGATATCCCGGAAAGCTAAGCATCCAGCTAAGCCAGCACAGGGAGGGCGCTGGGCGGCAAACGATGTTGGGTGATGCTGGGAAATCTGCTGCCTCTGGAAGGTCGGGTGGGAACTGGGGGAGGGGGTCAGGGCTGGGATGTCAGGAAAGGGTTCTGAGAAAACAACGTGGGGGAGGAGGCAGCCTGGAGTACCTTGGAGGGCTGGGGCGCTGCTCCGCTGCCTGGGCCTCTGTCTCCACATTTCTGAAATGGGTCAACATCTCTCCTCTGCTCCAAACCTAGGTCCACAGAAACAACTTCCAGAGCACAAGATGATCGTGAAAAATGCCCGGGGTGGGGAACTCTTGGGGGTGCAAAGACCTGCTCTTGGTGCTGTGATTTGGGGCAAGGGGTGGGGCCTCTCTGCGCCCAGGTTTCAACTCCAAAGGAGCTTTCGTGACAGGAGAGCCCGACCAGAGACAGGGCGGCTCCGTGGTTCAGGCCACGGTGGCCGATGGGCCCCAGGGCAGAGCCCACCTGGAGGACCCGAGTCTGGAAGGGAAGCTCCCAGAGGTCAGGGCTTCGTCTTTGTGAGCAAGTCCCTCAGCTGCAAAATGGGACTGCTGATAGCACCTCCCTCCCACGGAGGGGTTTGTGAGGAGCAGGTGAGACCATCTAGGTGAGGAGGCACTTTACACACCTGAAGTGTATGTGAGGGTGAGTCCCTGCTGCCCCCAGCCCTGGGCCAGCACACAGGAGGTGCTCAATAAATGCTTATGGGTGGTTTGGACTGGAGAAAAGCAGCCTGGGGGGTGGGGGGTCCCTGAGAGCCAGCTTCAAACGTCTCCTGGAAGAGACAAGTCAACAAGCATTTATTAGGCGCCTACTGGAATCCAGCTTGTTCTGCTCAGCCCCCGGGAGCAGCTGTGCACTCCCCTCCCCCATCTCTCCCTATGTCTGTCTCTGCCACTGTTCGTGTCTCTCTGTCTTCCCTCTTCCCCCTCGTCTGTCTGCCCCACCTCCATTCCCCCCTTCCTCCTTCCCTCTCTCTTCCTCCCCATCTCTGTCTCTTTCTCCCCCCTCCCTCGTCTCTCTCTCCCCCCTCCCCCTGTCTCTCTCCTTCTCCTTGTCCCTGTTTCCCCCTCCCTCCCTCCTTCCCTCTCTCTTCCTGCACCCCCCCTCTCCCTCCCCATAGCACATGGCCTAAATCCTGCCATAGTTGCTGCTCAGAGGCTGGCTGAATTAAGTTTGGAAGCAGCTGAGCCATCCGCACCCAGAGCAGGTTTCTGGGGAGCTCCCAGCAGAGGTCAGCGCCCCCTTGTCTAGGGGTCCATCCTTGCCTAGGATGTCAGATAAGCGGGCAGCTCTGGGATGCGGGGGGCAGGGTATGAGGATGCCATACTCTGACAGGATCACAGAGGGTCCCAGCCTTCTCATTTAGAGATGAGAAGGCTGAGGTCATGGCTTGACCACAATCCCCCACTGAGTGAGTGACAGTCAGGACCTGACCCCCAGTCCCGGGCCTTCCCCCGTGGGGCTGTTCCCCTTGGCTTTGTCCTCTGAGGCCCCTGGCATTGGCCCCCATTCCTGGACTGCCTTCACCTGGCCCCCTCCTTGCTCAATTGAGGCCTCTCCTTCCAGGCCCAGAGTGCCAAGGGGAGGCCGGGGGAGGCTGGCTTCTGTCCTGGACTTCCCCAGGATGCTCAGTGGTGGTCTGTTTGTTTTTAGAAAGCTCCAGCCCTGTCCCAAAACAGCTCTGCCTGTAGGTGGGGCAGGAAAAGGCCCGACCACCTCAGGCAGGCAAGAGAGGGAGGGGACGGATAGGACGGGACACCCTTTCTGCCCAGTCATGCAGGTCATCTGGGCTCCCCGAGCGCCTGCTGCTGCCGGCCACCATCCCTCCCCCAAGGCAGACACCCACCCAGATCTGTGGCTCAGTGCCAACTCCGGCCTCATCCCCAGGAAAAGCCGAGTTCTGCCCTTTCCGCCCCCCACCCCCCAGCCTATGGCTGGTGCTGCCCCCTTACTCCTCGGGCCAGGGGCTCATCCACACCGAGTCATCCTCTACAGGAGGCCTGGGCAGCCGAGCCTGGGAGGGGGCTTTGCTGCCTGGCTGCACTTCTGGGTCATAGACCACCTGAGGCCAGTGAGCTGGGTTCTTCTGATAGGCTGCTGCCAGCCATCAGCCATCTGCTATTGACTGGGTGCCTGGGTCCCTGTGGGCATCTCTGGTCAGCTCCGCATGTTCCAAGGAGTGAGTGTCCCTAACCCTTTCAAAAGGGCATCTGGGTGTCTGGCTGGGCCCAGGCCAGCCCGACAGGGGAGGAAGAGGAGCGTTGTGCGGCCTCAGGGCTGAAGGGGGCCTGGCCAAGGAGTACCAGGTCTCCACCCCTGCCGTCGCATCCTCTCCTTCCTCCCCACAGGGCCTTGCCCACCCAAGGACGGGCACTAAGAGGCTCCTGGCCTTGCCTTGCCAATAAAGGCTGAGCTCCAGCCCAGACACCCACCAAGAAGGGGACCTCTCAGGGCCCCTCAGTAATCCTGGATGGCGGACAGCTCCCAGTGCCCTCAACTCTTGGGAAGATGCATTTACTTGCTCAGAGAGGGAAGCATCCTTAATGCAGATATGGGACATTCTGGGGGGAGGGGACAGTGAGGCCTAGTGGATAGAACACACAGCTCTGGACTTTGGCCGTGCTCCTTTGAGGTAGGGCCTGCCCTATTCACATTTCACCTGGTTAATAAGTCACTTGGAGCCCAGACAATGGGGCCTGGTGATTGTTTTTGTGAACTCCCAGACGTCGGCCCTTGTGGTTTCTTGGTCCACGGTTTTGTTCCAGATGAGCTGGTCTGGCCCTCCTCCCCCCTCCTCTTCCTCCCCCTCCTCCTCCTCCTTTTCTTCCCTATCCCGGGGTTTGCAGAGGGTGAAAAAAGAAGGTCTTCAGCACTTCCCACCAGCTTCCTTGTGTGGGAAGGTCCTGGCCCACTTGGGGGCTCCTGTCACTCAACCCTCCCCCCCCTCCTCCATCTTCTCTGAGCAATGGGTCTGCTGTGGGCCCAGGTGCCAAGGGGGTTTGGGGACATGAAGGGGTACTGTAGCAGAAGTCCTGACCATGACAGCTTTAACAAGACTCCCCAGACAGGAGCTCGACGGTGGATCTCCCTGAAATGCGGGTCAGAGGTCTCTGGTGAGCGGTGGGTGGGCCCTCATCAAAACCACGAGGCCCCCCGAGGTCCCTCCTGCAGCCTCTGAGTCTGTGCGGCGGCTGCACGAGGCCAGGCAGGAGCAGGAGAGCCCTGGGTCTGGTCCTTGCTGTCAGTGAGCCTCGCTGGGCCTCTATTTGCTCACCAGTAAAAAGGGGGTGATCGCCCTGGGCCCGTTTGCTTCCCAGGGCCTCGTCCTTGGCCAGACGTTATCTGGGTTGCCAGGCTTCCTGGCCTGTGCTGAGAGGAGCTATCTGGGGTTGGTGCAGGCTGGACATGAGCTTTTTTAACAGGAACGTTTTCAGCCAAATCAGGGCAGCATGACGTGCCCCCTTGGGCCTTTCTGCCCTCTGGGGAAGGTTCTGCTAGGTTAAGAAAGAAAGGGAAGCCAGTGGAAGCTGGTGGGGCCTGCCTTGGGGGCCCATCTCTCCAGGTGTCCCTGCCCCCCAAATCAACCTGGTGGGCTCCCCCAAGCCTGGCAGAAGCTGGTGGGGCCTGCCTTGGGGGCCCCTCTCCCCACCTCATGCTGCCTGCTCTCCCTCTCCAGTGTTCATCTGTAGCTTTATGGTGGCAGCCCCCATCTTTGGGTACCTGGGCGACCGCTTCAACAGGAAGGTCATCCTAAGCTGCGGCATCTTCTTCTGGTCGGCAGTCACTTTCTCGAGCTCCTTCATCACACAGCAGGTGAGGCCTGGGGCGGGAGGGGGCTCATGCAGCCCCGGGCCCACATCGAGCTGCCTGCAGGGGAATGGGGGTGAGGACCCTGCTCTCTCCTGGGGCCAGAAGAACAAGGCTCAGCCCTCCTCCACAGGGCCGCCTTCTCTTCGCCAGGGAGGGTGTGTGTGTGTGTGCACATGCCTGGGAGTGTGGGTGTATGTTTATGTGTTTGCCTAGGTGTGTGCACATGAGTGTGTTCCTGTGTGTGCCTGGGTGGGTATATGTGCATAAGCACGTGCCTGGGGAGGGGGGAGCCTTTGGGGAAGTTCTGTCGGGCTCCACGGCTGTCCATGCCCCCTGTCAGGGGCCCCTGCTTGGAGTCCAGGCCTCTGCCCCAGGGGCCATGCATTTGGCCCCTTGTCCAGAGACAAGCTGAGGGTCACTCACAGAGCTGGCAGCAGGTCAGAACCAGAGCTGGAATTCGAACTCAGACCCCTCCCCACCTCCCCCGCCCCCTCTTCTTCCCAGGGCAGGGCTTGGCCTCTGGAGGAGAAGGAGGCAGGAGGGTTGGGGGTGGCCCCAAGAGGGGAGGTTGCCCCCCTGCCTGGGTCTCCCCTGCCGAGCCAAGAGGGGGATTCCCAGCCCACAAGGAGGAGCACGAGCTTGAGGGCGCTCAAGGAAACAAAAGCTGGGGGTCTGAGAGCTTCCCGAGGCCAAAACTTGGCCTGGGCCACAGGGCGGAATTTTACTGGGAGGTAAATCAGGTCCAGGTGCTTTCTCTTCCCTCCGAGATGCCTTAAGAGCAGTAGTGAGCTCCCTGTCACTGGCTGTCCCTGGTCAGGGAAGTGTGCTAGCAGAGGCTGGGCTGCTCTCCCTCAGTTTCCGCCTCCCCGCCCCCCCACCCAACCCCTTCCAGTCTCTGGTTCTGTGATTTTTCTGAGCCATGGGATCCTGGCAGCCCTGGCTAGGCCTGGCTGCGGCTCCTCTGGACGCAAACAGCCAGCTGTAGTCCACACTCATTCTCGGCTTCCTTTGCCCCCTGCCCTCGGCCTCCCTAGGGTTTCGGCTCCTGGCTTGGGCCAAGGCCTGGGCCCAAGGAGACGGTCATGGTTTGTGAGGCCCCAGCAGGGGAGGGAAGGATGGACCAGAAGCAGGGAGGATGGGGGGAGGGAGAAGAGGAGGAAGGGGGTGGTCCGGGCCAGGGCCCCAGAGCCACCACCATCTGCCTCAAGGGGTCCTGCCCATACCCGCCACAGCTGGCAGACCCAGCCCTCCTCCCCTGGGCCCAGCTGGATGCAGCCCTCTCTTCTGGGGTGGGGCAGAGCAGCCCCTTTGTGAGGCCAGAGGCCTGCACGGCCCCGGCTCCTGAGCCTGGCTCTTCTGGGCCAGTAATCGATGTGGCCCTGCCCGGGAGGGATGCTGGGCACCCCCCAATCAGTGACACTTGGAGCCCAGCTCTGGACTTGTATTCCTGACAGGCTATGAAAAAGCAGGCTAGGATGGACATTTGTCGTATTCAAGGCCCCCCCATTTTCTCTCCACAGTCAGCTCCCCCCCCTTCCCTGTCCCCCCTTCATTCCAGTCACACCAGACCCCACCCCCGCCCAGCTCACTGTGACCTCTGGGCTCACTGGACTCACACTGCCTGTCAGCCCTCTCATCCTCCTCCCTCTTCCTCCTCTTTCTGCCCCTCCTCCTCCTCCTGGAGCAATTCCCAGGATGGGGAGCTCACTAGAGACTACCCATCTCTCTTTTCTATTAAATAAAGACCCGTCCCTCACATCACCTGACATCATCCAGGCCATCCTCCCACACCCGGCCAGTTTTTCTTCCCTGTGAGATCTCTTCTGATTCCCCGAGACACCTCTCAGTCCCCCCAGGCTCCTCCTCTCCCCTGCCCCCTTTCCTCCGGTTCACTCGATGCCATCCTGGGCAGAGTTCAGACCCAACGCCTCCCATTTTTAGAAAACCTGACAGTTTACACATCGCTTCACTCACACGTGGCTTCCCGTGAGGGCGGGAGAGTGACGATGACGTCAGTCCTTCAGGGAGCTGTGACCTCTGAGGGGGAGCTCTGGCCACTGACGCAGATGGCAGCCTTGGGGGGCTGAGGCAACTGAGGGGCCCCCTCCTGTGTTCAGGCTGCCGCCCTTGTGGTCACTTCCGTCCCTGCTTTCACACATGGTGGCTGCCTCTCCCCCCGTCACTGAGCGGGGAGGGGTGGGGGTCTCTACCTCCAGTCTCTCCCCACCCCCTACAATTGCCAGAGGGACTTTCCGAAATCCCACATTTCTCTCTGGCTCCATAACATCCTAGGGCTCCCCTTGGGGCAAACTCAAATTCCTCAGCTGGCCATGGCAGGCCCTTTCCTGTCTGACTCCCTTTATGCACTGGAGCGTCTGGGCCAAGCTGGCCCCAAGCTGGACTCTCCCTCCACCCTGGGCTGTCTCCTACTTGGAATGCTCTCCTCTCTCTCCCTCCCTCTTGGAATCCCTCCTCCCCCGGTCCGGTCCTTGCCCTGAGCCCAGCCCGGTGCCCAGCGCATAGAAGCTGACTGCCGCCCCTGGAGCCGGGGTCTCAAAGCAGACTGGGATTAATGCCCCCCACCGGCACGGACTCACCCCAAAGGGCTCCTTCATTCCTTCCCCAACATCGACTGCCTGTCCACCTTGGCTCTGAGCATAAAGGCAAGGCATGCATTAGCGCACTCTGGGGATCGAATTGTCCTGAAGCAGTGACAGAAATTCCCTGCTAGGCATTACCCTGTTAGGGGTGGGGATGAGGGAGCAGTGGGCAGGGCCAAGAGGAGACCTTCAGGGGACAAATGGTGTGGTCGAGGCTGGGCATAGGGCCCAGGGCTGCCAGGTATTCCAGATGGACCCCTTGCCGGGAGGTGCCCAGGCCGGGTGGAGGAGATGAGGGGGCTGAGAGGCGACTGAGAATGACTTCCCAGGACACGCTTCACAGAAAGTTCATTCCTCGTAGGGAAGGACCTACAGAGCTGGGGGCCCCGGGGACAAGGGTGAGGCTTTAAGGTTTGCGAATCCCCTTCCATGTGGTATCTGAGAGGGAGCAGCTCTTATTCTCCCATTTTGCAGGTGAGGAAACTGAGGCAGACAGGTGATGTGGCTTGCCCAGGGTCCCACAGCTAGTGAGTGTTTCAGGCTGGATTTGGACGGGCCCAGCGTTCTAGGCTGTGTGGACCCCCCCAGTGATACGGATCTCACTAGCAGGGGCAGAATGGTCTGCCCCGCTCACCCTTAGTTTTTGAAGAGACATTAGCACGTAAATCAGATTGAAGTGAGCCTGAACTGAGCGAAGTTGTCGCCTCTCTCCCTCCTGCAGAGTCAGGGGGTATCCTGAGGATGCCCGGCCCCTCCTGTCTTTGCAGACTGAGCAATGAGGGAGGGCAAGGCAGGTGGCCCTGTGGGACAGTCAGGGAGGACGGGGTGTGGCAGTCACGTTGGAGGACGTTGGCAAGCTGGCAGCGGGGGAGGAGGGCGGACGGGGCCCTGGAGCCGGCAGGGGCGCTGGGTCCTGCTCTGCGGCCAGGGTGTACCTGCCCAGAATCCTGATGGATCTTAGGGCATGTGCGGGCTTCCCCTAATGCCTGCAGTGAGGAGCCCAGGCCTCAGCAGGCCTTCAGCTGAGACAGGTCCTGGGCCAGGGCTGGGGGCAGCCCTTCTCCCCAAGTTGTGCGGGCCCCAGAGGATTCTCCTATCAGCACCCAGGCCTCCCTGCAGCTCAGCCTCCCCCTTTCCTGGTGTGGGGGAGGGTCCCTTCCTGGGCTGCTGGCTGCACGAGGGCCCCCACCAAGAGCCCCTAGTTGGTATCACCTGACACCCCAACCTGAGCCCCTGTCTGTGCATACTTGGGCAGATTAGGCACCACACAGGACGGATCTCTGCCATCAGTCAGCCCCTAACCTCATTAGAACCAGGGTTGGGAAGCACGAGGTGTACTCTCACATTCTCTCTCTCTCTCTCTCTCTCCTCTCTCTTTCTTTCTCTCTCTCTTTCCTCTCTCTGTCTGTCTCTCTCTCCCCTCCCTCTCTCTCTTTCTCTCTCTCTCTGTATCTCCTCTCTCTATCTCTCTGTCTCTGTCTCTCCCTTCTCTCTTCCTCTTTCTTTCTCCCCTGTCTCCCCCTCCCTGCTCCTCCTCTCCCTTCCTCCCTCCCTTGCCTGCTGTTCACTCACCAGCTTCCCTCATCAAACCCACCGGTATTTGCTCCATTGCAAGGACAAAGACCTAATTAGGTCTTTCTTTCCTCCCGGCAGATTTGGGTCAATTATCAGGAGCAGTAGCTGAAGGGTGAACAGGTCGCTTGGTAGTTTGTTGATAATGTAATGAATTAGGCTAAGAGCTGCCTGCCAGCAGGTGTGCCCAGAATGCCACCTCAAAGCCCCAGGACCGAGGCTGGGACCGTGGGAGGCATGTGGGCTAGGCTGGCACAGGACACTAGGCAAGGGCCAGTGTGGGGGCGTTATATTGTTCTCCCTGTTTGAGGAATGGAGTGGGCCAACCTGTCTTAATCCAGCAGGTGAGCAGTTAGACAGCAAGGCAGTGCAGCAGACAGAGTGCCAGGCCTCCAGTCACGAAGACCTGAGTTCTAATCCAGCTTCAGTTCCCTCAAGTGTAAAACAGGGGGAATAGCAGCATTTCCTTGCCAAGTGGTTGTGAGGATCACAAGGTCAGCCCTGTGCCCAGCACATAGTAGGGCTTCGTGGGTCTCTCATAGAGCTTGGCCAGAGGGGGACTCCCCACAACGCCCCCCCCCATCCCCTGAGCCTGGGGCAGCTCTGGCACTCCCTTGGCTGGGAGCCTGAGGAAGCAGCAAACAGGCCTGGCAGGACTCGGGAAGCTCCCCGGGCCCTGAGCCCCTCCTCTCCAGCCTCGGTTCTCAGGCCTTCAGCTCTGTGCTGGCAGCCAGGCTCAGTCAGAGCTGTGGGGAGGGAGCTTCTCTGGTCGGCTCCCTGGCCGTGCCTTTGCTCTGTGAGCCTCAGGGCACTGTCTCCCTCGGGGGGTGTGAGGGAGGCCGGGGAGGATCCTGGGGGTCGGCCCAAAGCCATTCCCTGCCTCTAGCTGGGGCTTCTGGGGGCCCCGGACAGCGCTGCTGAGGGTCCTTCCCCCTCCATCTGTCCCCACAGTATTTCTGGCTGCTGGTCCTGTCCAGAGGCTTGGTGGGCATTGGAGAAGCCAGCTACTCCACCATCGCACCCACCATCATCGGCGACCTCTTCAACAAGAACACGCGCACACTCATGCTGTCCGTTTTCTACTTTGCCATCCCCCTGGGGAGGTAGGAAGGCCCCCTCCCCTGCTGGGCTCTGGCTGACACAGGCCCTGTGTGCCCCAGCCATGGGGGGAGGGGGTTCTATGTGATCCCAGCCGTGGGGGCAGGGGGCCCTGTGTGCCCCAGCCATGGGGGGAGGGGGTTCTGTGTGATCCCAGTTGTGGGGGGAGGGGGCCCTGTGTGATCCCAGCCATAGGGAGAGGTAGGCCCTGTGTGCCCCCTGCTCCACCATAGGGGGAGGGGGTCCTGAGAATGGACAGGAGTGTTGGTCCGGGAGACGCCAGACAGTGACCCCAAACCAAATCATGTTTTTCATTTACCAAGGACGACAGGCTACTTGGGAGGGGAAGGCCCAACAGAGCTTGACCCGGGGACGGCCACCTGTTCACCTCCCTGGGGACAGTGGCTGCCTGTCCCTTTTCTCCCAAAAGGCTCCAGGGGACGATTTGGAAACAGATTTCCATAGAGAAGGGGCTGGTTGGCATTCTCTTGGGGTTGAACATTTAGAGTTGAAACAGGCCCCTGTTCTCCTTCCTTCCAACACCCCGGGTGTCCCACTCATGTCACTGTTTCTGTGAGCTTTGGGGATGGGGGGGGGACTCGCCTTGGTCTTGATGGTGAGCTGGTGTCTCCCACCTCTCTCCTCCCACCTCTCACCCCATGTCTCGTTTTCAGTGGCCTGGGCTACATCACTGGGTCAAGTGTGAAGCAGGTGGCCGGAGACTGGCATTGGGCCCTGAGGGTAAGTGGCCTCCCCTCCCCCCTCTTGTGGCCTGGTTGCCATATCCACCCTTCCCACCTGTTCCTGTTCATCCTCGTGACACTTCTGGGATGCAGCACTTACAAAGCCCATTTTACAGATGAGGAAACTGAGGCCCAAAGGCCTAGCTGGGGGCAGCTCTCCTGACCCCGGCCCAGGACTCTCCCTCTGAGTCCCCCCTGCAATTGGGAGAAGAGGATGAGGGGCTCTGAGTGGGTAGACGCCATTCCCTGGACCCCGCTCCCGGCCCTGGTCTGTGGCCACTCCCAGGTCTCTGGACTCTAGGAGGGAGTCTGGGCCAGCAGGTGCTTCCCTGAAGCCTGTGTGGCTGGGCAGGAGCCAGTAAGGCACCCAGCCCTGGGGAGGGGAGGGACTGGCCAGGGATGCAGCGGGGCTCACCCCAGCTCAGGATTCAGGAGCACCATCAACGTGGAAGAAATCCTGGGGTCTTCAGGGTCTTAAAAGGATGCTGTGTGGAAGGAGGTCCCGGGGCAGAACCAGGAGCAATGGGGTGGGGGAGGGGTAGAAATCAATCAGTCAGTTGCAAAGAGGTCCGTTGAGGCTGGATGGCAGGAACCTTGCGACTCGAGCTGTCCCAGTGTGGAGCAGGCCGCTTCCCCTCACTGGGGGTCTGCAAGCTGAGGCTGGAGGACTTTCCCACCCTGCCCCATTGGGCACACGGTCATGCCCAGCTTGGACCACACGTCCTCCAAGGGCCTGGGACTGATGAGTCTTTGGAAGTGTAGGAATCCTCCATTATGGGGAGGCTCCACTGAGGACCCCAGGGAAGTAAGGTGGGGCTCCTGACTGGAGAAAGCCTGGCCCACTGGGCCTGGGTGTGAATCCTGACTTTGTCACATCCTAGTGGTCTTACTGTGTGCTCTGCTGGGCCTCACTTTCCTGATCTGTAAAATGAGGTAGACGTGGGCCCGATGGCCTTTCAGGGCCTTCCAAGTCTACGTTCATGCTCCTTCGAGTGGACAGGATTCCCACATGTGCACTGAAAAGCCAAGATCGAGGCTGTCTGCACAAAGGGTCCAGGGAGCTTGAGGAGGGAGGGGGCCTCTGACTCTCTCCATGGCTACTCCCCCTTCCCGCTCCCTTCTTTCTTCTCTCAGGGCTCCCTCCCCACACCCAGGAGCTGGCTGGCCTGGCCACACTCAATCAGCCAGGCCCTCACTGCTGTCAAGAAACTCTGGAGCTCAGGGGGCTTCCTGCTTTGAGGAAACAGCACTTTGTTTGCAGTTTCCGCTCTGAGGGGGCCTGGGACACTGGCCTTCCTGCAATTCTAACCTCCCAGGACGTTGACTGGCCCCTTTGCCCCCTTCCCACCCAACATACACACGCTGGGGGGGGGAGCCCTCAGAGTCCAAACCCGGGCCCTGGCCCGGTCTCCCAGCAGCCGCTGGGCAGCTGGCATCTCTCCTAAGACGGGTGTGAGGATGCATGAAGGAAGGGAACCCTGGTGCCTCCCTGGAAATTTCTGCTCATCATGCCCCTCATGTCCCCCCACCACAGGTGTCTCCTGTCATGGGGATGATCACCGGGACACTCATCCTCCTCTTCGTCCCGGCTGCAAGGAGAGGGCACGTGGAGCAGCTCGGGGGGCAGCTGAAGGCCCACACCTCCTGGCTCCGGGACATGAGAGCGCTGATCCGGAAGTAAGACGGCTGCATCCTCATGCCCCCCTTCCCATGGTGGGCACTGCCACCGGGGCCTCCGTGTGGCCCAGAGACGCACATAGTCCCCCCGGAGAGCTGCCTGCGGGGGTGCACTTGATTCCGGCCCCTCCTAGCCAGACCCATCACTGCCCCCTTCATCCTTTATGGCCTTAGAGAAGGGAAAATGGTTTGTCCCCACCCCTGTGTCCCTTCTCCCCAGGTAGGGTGGGAGCCACCCAGGTGGCAGCCTCGGAACCCCATTTAGCCAAAGAAGCTTCACTTCCTTAAAAAGGGGGAGCTCTGCTTGGGGAACGGGACCCCACCTGCCCCTCACTGCCTGCCAGTGCTAGCCTTCTCTCCCCTGTGCCTCTGGTCCCCCCTGCCCCCACCATGTGTCTGGACCCTGAGGCCTCCTGCTAACAGATGTGCCTTTGGCTACACTGACCCCACCTCGACCCAAAGGTGCGGACCCTCCTGTCTAGAGCTTGTCCAAATCCCCCAGGGACGCCCACCTGATCTCGAGTGACCTCAAGCCTTCCCTCTCCGTGCCTCGGCCGTCAGGGTTAGGCAGGGAGACTTCTTTGAGAAGGGAAGATGGAGGGTCAGGAGAACCTGGGTTCAAATGCAGCCTCAGACACTTAAGCCTGGGCAAGTCACTGAACCCCGATCACCCCCAGAGAGGGTGGGCAGATCTAAAAAGAGCTCTGAATCTGAAGGGGACGCCAGTGTAGACATGCTCGCTGCTGTCAGCTCATCAGGCCGGCTCCGCTGTCCTGACCCCGGGGGCAGGCCCCGCTCTGTGTGGGGATAGAATGCCAAGTGGCGACCTCTCCCCACCCTGTCCAGTCGCAGCTATGTCTTCTCCTCGCTGGCCACCTCTGCCGTCTCCTTTGCCACCGGAGCCCTGGGCATGTGGATCCCCCTGTACTTACACCGGGCCCAGGTTGTGCAAAAGACCACAGAGACCTGCAGTAACCAGCCCTGCGAGACCCGGGACAGGTGAGTCCTGAGGACCGTCCCTGCCCCTGGCCCCAATCCCCACTCGCTCTGCTCTGCCGGGCCTCAGGACATCCTCTGTTTCCTCAGCCTCATCTTCGGTGCCATCACGTGCTTCACCGGTTTCCTGGGGGTGATCACAGGGGCTGGAGCCACCAAATGGTGCCGCCTGAAGACGCAGCGGGCAGACCCCCTGGTGTGCGCGGTGGGCATGCTGGGGTCGGCCATCTTCATCTGCCTCATCTTCGTGGCAGCCAAGACCAGCATCCTGGGCGCCTACGTAAGTGCCTGCAGGGCAGGGGGTGGGGGAAGGTATGCACACCTGGGCCGAGTGTGCTCAGCACCATGGACAGCGAACTCTCTCTGGCCCTGGAGAGAGGTCTGATTCTGCCTTGGGAGCTCCCTGGTGCCCAGGCCCGAGGAGAGGGGGGAGGCGCGCTGCGGCTCTTGGGGGCCCAGGGCCATCGGGGAGGGAGCACTCACACAGGGAATAACCAGAAGCTGGTCGCCTTGCCGGATGCAGCAGGCTAGTGATGGCTGGTGGAGGGGGCCGGAGCTCATCCTCAGGGAGCGAGGGCGCTTGGCTCATTGCACCGTCTTTCCCCAGGCCCTCGCCCTTGCCACGCAAACCTCTTGACGTGAGCCTTTGGCCTCATCCTAACCCCCTTCTCCGGCAGGTGCCCTCTGCCACCTGGCTTCCAAACCCAAGATTGAACCCAAGCCACTGCCCTCCAGAATGACCGGCGACCTCCTGATGCCCAAACCAAATGGCCTTTTCTCGGTGTCCATCCGTCTTGGCCTCTCTGCAGTCATTAACGCTGTCCATCACTCTCTTCTCCCCTAGGTTTCCATGATTCTACCACTACTACTACTAGTAACTAACATTTCTACAGTGCCTACTATGTACCAGGCATGTGCTGAGCGCTTTGTAATTATTATCTCCTTTGATCCACCCTGGGAGGTAGGCCCTACTTTATCCCCATTTTATAGATAAGGAAACTGAGGCAAACAGAAGTGATGTGCCCAGAGTCCCACAGCTAGTAAGTGTCTGAGGTTGCACTTGAACTCAGGTATTCCAGGCCTGTGCCACCAGCTGCCTGGCGATCCTGGTTGTCCTCCGAGCTGTGTGACTGCCCCTTCTCGGTCTGGGGCTATGTCCCCCAGGCCCCCTTCTCTTCTCCCTCTGTCCTGTTTCTCTCAGTGCTGTCATCGTCTCCCATGGGTTTCCCAATCTCTCTAGCCTGCCTCAGTCTCTCCTCTTGACCTCTGGTATTACCTCTGCCTTTCTGACATCTCAACGTGTCCAAACCTGCGCTAATTCTCTTCTTCCACTCCCAATCCTTCCTCACTATCAAGGGCACCAGGGTCCTCCCGGATCCTGCCAAGTCTTAATAGCATCTCTCTTATACACTGCCCCTTCCTCTGATGCTGCCCCCACCATAGTGCAAACCCTCAACACTTCATGCCCAGTCTATGGCAGTAGCTGCCGGGGGTGGGGGTTGCTGCCTGCCCCAAGTCTCCCCCCACTCCCATCTACCCTCCGTTCAGCCACCAAAGGGATTTTCCTGGTGTGGGTCTGACAGTGTCTCTCTACTTATTAAACACAGGGGTTCCCTATCATCTGCAGGATCAAATATAAAATCACTTTTAGCTTTTAGAGTCCTTCATAACCCCTAACCTTTTCAGTCCACTTATACCTTGCACCCTTCCCACATATGCAGTGACCCAGTGACCTTGGCCTCCTGGTTGTTCCACAAACAAGACCCTCCATCTCTAGACTCTGTATATTTTCTCTGGCTGTGCCCCCTGCCTGGGATCTCTCCCTCCTCACCTCCACCTCCTGGCTTTCCTGGCCTTCCTCAGGTCCCAGCTAAAATCTCCCCCTCTGCAAAAAACCTCCCCCCCCCACTCCCTTGACATCAGCGCTTTCCCTCTGATCACCTCTAAATCATGCTGGCTAAAGCTGTCTGCCTGTGGCTGGGAGCTCCTTGCGGGCAGGGAGGCTTCTGCCTTTCTTGCCTCAGCACAGCGGCCCGTGCATAGTAGGCATTTCACAAAGTCTGCTGACTTGCAGACTCCTCCTGGAGCACAAATCTCTCACAGACCCTCCTTCCACCCATCTCCTCCTTACTGTCCAGAGGGCATTTCCTCAGACCTGCTTCTCCCCACCCCCCATGCTCTCTCTGCTCTGGGGGCTTCTTGGGGGTGATGGAGCTTTCTCTGGGCCCTCTCGGCTTGTGGGGCATCACCAACAGAGGTGCCCCCAAGGCCGTCCCAGACACAGTTCTCTCTCATGTGGTGGCCTCACCAGCTTCTCAGGGTCTCATCATCAGCAGGGATCTCTGCAGATGACCCCCAGACCGAAAGAGGCCACGTCCTCTGCCTCCTGCATCACTCCCTGTCCACATCTCAGATTCACCATGACCCAAGCAGAGTCCCCTCTCCCCCCCCCCCCCCCCCCGCCCAAGCCTTCCTGCCTTCCAGACCATCTTCCAGGCTACAGGTATGTTAGCCAGCTGGGAGCTTCCCGAGTGTCCCTGGCCCCAGCCTCTCTCACAGCCAATCACATTCAGGCCTTTGCCATCTCATACCCAGACCATCCCAGTGGCCTGTAACGTGTCTCTTCCTACTCCCATCCACCCTTCACGTGCCTGCCAAAGGCCTTCCTGAAGCACTGAGGTGGCCAGGCCATGCCCGTGTCTTCCTATTTTAAGCCCTTCACAACCTGGTCCCTAATTGCGCATGGATCCCCTCCCTGCAGTCCATGGGCTAGCCAAACTGGCCTCCCTTCTGTTTCTCACGCATGGCAATCCCTCTCTTATTGCCACACCTTTGCACTGGGCATTCCCTGATGCCTGGAATGCATGCCCTCGTCCCTTTCATCTCACTTCCTTTCAAATTCAGCTTGAGTGCTGTGGCCTGATTGGCCAGATAGCTAAGGCTTACCTCCCCCCTCACTGGCCTCCCACTCAACTGCCTTATATTTGCATTCTGTCCCTGCATGTGTTATATGTGTATGTACATTTACATTTACACACATGGCCGTGTTGTCTCCCCGATGGATTGTAAGCTCCATGAGAACAGGGCTGATTTCTTTCCTTCTCTCTCTTCCTTCCTTTCTTCCTTCTTTTCTTCTTTCCTCCCTCCCTCCCTTCCTTTCATTTCATTTCTTCCTTTTTCTTTTTATCCCAGCACCTTGGACAGCGCCTGGCGCTTAGGTGCTTGGTGATTGAGTGTTGGACCATGTCTCTAAGTCTTCAAACATCCCCAGTCCATGAACTGAAGACCCTTCCCCATCCTCTTCTCTCCTCCGGACACCCCCCAACATAACATCACCCTTCCTCAAATATGGCAGCCAGAGCTGACCGCCACCTCCCAGCGTAGTGTGATGTAAGCACAGGAAAGGATGTCTCCCTCTTCCTGGGGACTCTGCCCCTCTTTGCTCAGCCCAGGCCAAGGCCTCTTTAGCTTTTACGGGGACCACATCACGTGGCTGAAGCAGCATGGTGAGCTGGCAGTTCCTTCAGAACCCCAGGTCTTTTTCAGATACAGTGCTGCTCAGTCCTACCTGCCTCCTTCATCTTGGGCTTGTGAAGTCAATCGTTGGAACTCCAGTACGATACTTGACAGGAATCCCTATTGAGTTATGACGTTTCTCCTGGATGTCGTTCCCATATCTGTCCTTGATAAGGACAGATGCTTGCTGGCCACGCAGTCTCCCTGAGGTGGTCTGACAGGGCCAGGTAGAGAGGGCCCTTTACATTCCATCATCAAGACAGAAAAAGTCTGGGTGGGTGACTAATTAGACCTCCCCCTCCACTTGACCTTTTGCCTACTCCCCCATGTCACTTGCCCTCTTTATACTGAGGGGGTTGGACTATCTCAGTAACCTCCAAGGTCCCTCCCAAGCCTCAAATCTTGTGGCAAGAGCTCCTTCCTCCGGGCATGGCTTCAGGGTGTTTCAGAGTTCTGGGAAGTCACCTGTCTTGGCCTGGAGACCCCAACAAATTTAGAGCAAATCAGTCGGTCCTCACCAGGCTTGGGCCCGCTTTCTCTCTGGGAAGTTTGTCCTCTCTCCTCCCACCTGATGCAGGCGATGGAAGCAGAGTTGGGTCATCCTGCTTCCTGTCTCTGCTCTCCTGAGGCCACCTTCCCAAGCTCCTCCTGGCCCCAAACTCAGCTTTTCAAGGTCATGCTGGGTGTTGGCTTCCTGACCCTGTTCTGACTGGAATTTTTACAAAAGGTCTTTGGCTCACTCCCTTCCTTTCATCTTTTGTACACATCATGTACAAGTCTGAGCTCACTAGAGAGCCCCCTTTGCAGCCACATGGAGTCTTGAGACTCTTCCTTACTGAAACTATTCACAATTGTATAGTCGGAGGTTCACCACTCATCTCAGGTAGAATGGAGTCTGACTTCTTTTCTCTGAAATGGTGACACTCTGCTTTCCTGATGTCCTGAAGTCCTTGTCTGCCTGTGCTTGGCCTCTGGGTTTGTTCCTTCACCTCTGGTGACCCTCAAGGCTTCTGCCCCTGCTGAGGCACCTGCCAGGACTTTATTGGTCAGAATTAAGTTCAGAGCAGCAAGAGTCATGAGGGGCCCCTCTGCCCCCTGAGAGATGAAGGCATAGCTTTAGGGTGGGCAGGAGGAATCAAAATCCTTGTCCAAACCATGGGCACGCCTAGGACCACTGTGTCCTGGTCAATTCACTCAGTCTTTCACACCCACCGGACATGAGGCACTGTGTACTGGGCCCCTCCTCCCAGGGTGGACGCTTGGCTGGGGGCGCCTACAGCGTGTCCACAGCAACATTTGGGCATGACCAGGGCTCTGCCATCCTTGAACGAGGCACACCCTTCCTGGGCGCCATTCTCATCCCGCACGTGGCTTCAACGCTTCCAGGATGCCTGGGAGAGCCTGTCTTCCGCTTTGCTGTGAGATTTCAGGTTCACCTCCTCTCACACTGTGGGCTGTGGACCCCACGACCAGAGAAAGTGGCTGTTGTTCCTCTCGCCCCCTGTACTTCCTCCTGAGAATTCGTGAGGAGGGGCTTCCTCTGCCGATGTGATGCTGACCCACCTACCCTTCTCCACAGCCGCAGGTTTTATGGTCTCAAGCATCTTCCTTCTTCCCCCTCCATTTCCAGTGTCTTTCTACGAGAGCATCTTTAGTACCCCCATGACCTTCCCGGGACCTCAGTCACCAGAGATACTCCCCTCCCAGATCTCCTTCCTCCCTCCCTTCTTTCCTTCCTTCCTTCCTTTCTTTCCTCTCTCCCTCCCATCCCCTTCCCTGCTTCCTCCCTCTCTTCCTTCCCACCTAACTCTGCCAAAGGCAGATTTGGCCAGTCTCATTGGGTTCCTCATCATGCCCCCACACTTCCATCCTCACTGGTGCTGTGGCAGCAGGTAAAACCTCTTAGAGTAGGAGCAGATGATCACCATTGTTGGGGCAAACACCAGGCAGTGCCCTTTGACTTTTGGCTTGGCCTAACTGGGTGGGGGGTCAGAAGCAGTCCTTGGCTAGATGCCTCCCATTGCAGCCCTGCCCTGCACAGTGGCCACTCCCTCTAATCAACACATTCCTGAGGGCAGGTGGAGACACGTCCACTCTTCATCCTCTGGACCCATCAGTCAGTGGCTTGAGGTGTGGAATGAGCCAAATGACACTGTCTGGGTGCCCAGGCCAGGGCCAGGTCTCCAAGAAGGTCAAGGCTGGGTCCTGTTCTCTCTCCTTATGCAGAGACCCAGCCTGGGCATCAGGAGGTTGGGTCCCACTGGCAGTGGGGCCACTGCCTGGGCATGATGTCAGCTGCTTTCTTCCCCTCTCTGAGCCTCCTGTAAATAGGGGTAATGTCGCTGCCCTGCCTTCTTCCCAGGGCCCTTGGTGGGAGCTGTGGGGGGTGTTTGGCCAGTCCGCGTGGGCTGTGGGGGCAGGCTGAGTCTGCAGGCTTGGGCAGCTTTGGGATGCCTTTGACCTCTCCCAGAGTTCCTGAGAGCAGCCATGCTTATCAGAAAAGGGCTGAGGTGGGCAAGGAGGTGATAAGACCAGCAGGAGAAGAGCTGATACACCACGTGACCTCGGCCACACGATGTCCGGCCCGGAAGGGAAGGACTACAGTGGCCTAGGCTGGGACTGGCCCAAGCCAGCCACCAGCCCTGAGACCCCAGCAGCCTAGACCGCCCTGCAGGAGGGGAGCCACCCGGCCACAATGACCCAGCTCCAGCAGAGGGCCAGCTCTCTCTCACATCGGCCAACACGCATGTGCACGCATGTCCCCAGTCCTCGTGACCGGCCCTGCCGGCCTGAGCAGCCGAGAGTCTGGTCTCCCAAAGCTCGTGGGACTGCTCAGGGCCTGTCGTGACCTTTCGACAGGCAGAGGGGTCAGCTCCCCACCAGCAGGCAGGCTAACGACCGTCTCCATCTCTCTCTCGTCTTGCTCTCCTAGATTTGCATCTTCATTGGTGAGACCCTGCTTTTCTCCAACTGGGCCATCACAGCAGACATCCTGATGGTGAGTGCCCCAAGGCTGGCCAGGACCCTGCCTCTGTCACCAGTGGGCCTGGCTATGGGAGCCATGGGAGAAGTGAAAGCTCAGTTTTCTGGAGGAAAGTTGGTTTGGCCGTGTGCAGACTAGATTGAAGAGGGAAGAGTGCGGAGGAGGGGAGGCCAGGGAGAGAGGGACCGACAGGGACGCTGGCGGCTCGTGGGGAGCGTGGAGCCGCGAGAGCAGAGAGAGGACCTCCCTGTGTGACGAGGCCCATCACATGTCTGGGCCAGGCTCCCGCGCCCTCAATGCCCTCGAAGCTCCATCATCTCCATGACTGTCTCCGTGACTGTCAGAGCCCAGTGGGGGATGGGGACGGGGAAGCGCCAGCTGAGCGTTTGCGTTGTTGACGGCTCAGTCAAAGACTGTTTACAGGGAGGTCAGCAACAGACACCGGCCTCGGACCAGCTGGGGCGGTCGCAACCACCCAGACAAAGCCGCTCAGTCCCAGAGAGGCTGCCTGGCTCAGGGCAGGGTCAGCCGGCCCGGTCACAGCTGAGCTGGGGCCTGGAGGGAGGGGAGGAAGGCATGGTCGACTGTGCCTAGGTCTGTGTGGGGGTCCAGTCCAGCTCTGGCCTGAGGGGCCGTGCCCATTGGTACAATGGGTGCCAGCACCCATGGGAGTCGGAGGGACCAACTAGCTGGCCCCCGTGTCCCGAGGCACCCCACCTTCTGCCAGGTCTGCCCAGCCCCCTCGTCTTCCTTCTTCGCCCCAGAGCGGGCACCTGGTGCCAAGTTTAGGGGCTCTGTGGCATCATGTTGAGAGAAGGAGGAAAGTGCCTGGGAGGAGGACCGGCTTTGCCTGTGCAGAGGAGGCACACACATGAGCCCTCCTTCAGGGTTGGGGATTAGGAGGCCGGGTCTGGCTGCAGGCCTGCTGGGGGGGGGCAGGAATGTGCCCGGCCCCTGCTACCCTGGCATGTGGGGGAGACACAGGATGGCACAGTGTGTTTCTGCTGCTGCTGAGCCAGATTCTGTTGGAGGGAGGGCAAGCTGGCCGGCCAGGTTGGGAGATAATTGGGGGAAGTGTGGGCCCTGGCATCGCTGGCCCCAAAGGCTCAGCCCATGGAGGAATGTAGGTGTGGCTGAAGAAGGCTCTAGGGATGGGGAGATTAGGGATGGGGGCAGGGAGGAGGGCAGTGGGGACAATGGGAGGAAGGAAGTGTCAGGGTTTGGTGCATTCCTGGGGAGGGGGCAGCTTCCTGCCAGGCCGTCTTTTCCATCAACTCAGCCTGTCCATCCCCCCCGCTCCTCCCTCCCTGGGGTCCCCCCATCCTGACACTCTGGGCCAGGGAGGGTGGGGCCGGTGGGGTAAGGGGCTCTTGGGCTGACCGGAGCAAGCATCCCAGATGAGGTCCTCGGGGCTCCCGTGTGAGGAGGGGGCTCCCAACTCCACAGGTGCCCGTGGCCTCTTCACCCCCCTCTGCTTCCCTGAGCTGCCTCCCTGGAGCCCCCACTGCGGGCTGCTGGCCCGGGCAGACCACCCACTCTGCAGCAGGCTGCTCCCACAGAGCCCAGCGTGACTTAGCACGCTCCCAGGCTCCCAGAAAGCCTTGTCCATATTCTCGTCAGTCATTGGCCGGCCCCATCCCCAGGAACCCCACAAGGCTTTTCACGGAAAGGGGAAAGTCCATCCGGGCCTCATCCCTTTCCCGTTCGAAGGTCCTCAGGGGCATGAGCCAGGCTTCCTCTGCCTTCGTCCAGGCCCACAGGGCCTGCATCGAAGGGGATGCCGTGGCCTCAGCCAGGGCCGTCTGGCACTGGAGGGGCGCCGCTCAGGGAGGCCAAGATGCCCTTCCCCTCCTCTCCCCTACGCCAGACACTCAGAAAGCAGAGAGGGGGAGGGGAGGCGTCGTGGGGCGAGGGCCAGTGATGGCTGGGGGAGGGAAGGCCAGGCCCTCAAGCCTGAGGGGTGCTGGCTGACCCAGCCTCCCTGCCTCCCTGCAGTACGTGGTCATCCCCACTCGCCGAGCGACCGCCGTGGCTCTCCAGAGTTTCACCTCTCACCTGCTGGGAGATGCGGGCAGCCCCTATCTCGTTGGCTTCGTGAGTACTGCTCACAGGGGCTGGGGCTGAGGGCGCATCCCGGGGAGCCTCCCTCCCTGACCTGGCCCAGACCTGAGCACACCTGATGGGTGCAAAGCTCTCCTGTCTGCTCTGCGCACTGGCTCCTCTACCTGGCCTCCATCCCTGACAGGTGCCTCCACCTGCAGTGGGGGTGGGAGGGGAGCTTCCCTAGATGGGGCCAGTGCTCAGGGGGTGGGGCCCAGGAGGGCGTGGCTGCTGGGACCAGACCATGGAGGTGGGAGACCCAGGATGCTGGACAGTGCTGAGGAGGGCAGGCAGGCAGGCAGGCAGACATACAGGGCCTTCTCAGGGAGGCAGGAGGGGTGTGTGTGTGTGTGTGTGTGTGTGTGCACACATGTGTGTGTGCACATGTGTGTGTGCACATGTGTGTGTGCACATGTGTGTGTAATGGCCTCAAGGTACTTTGGGCACTTTGGTCCCAGAGAAGGCCTCTGCTCTTTGTGTGGGGAGGGCAGCCTGAATATGTCCCAGCCTTGCAGGAATGAGGAGGTAAGCCCCATTCCCAGCTCCTCAAGCAGGACAAGAGCTGGGGAAGGGGATGCTTGGGAGCCTGAGGAGGAGGGGAGGGGCCGGGCCGGGCTGCTGGATGGAGGTGCTGAGCCTCCCTCCCCCGCCTCTCTCTGCAGATCTCTGACCTGATCCGACAGAGCACCCGGGAGTCCCCGCTCTGGGAGTTCCTCAGCCTGGGCTATGCTCTCATGCTCTGCCCCTTCGTGGTGGTCCTGGGGGGAATGTTCTTTCTCGCCACTGCCCTCTTCTTCCTCAGCGACCGGGCCAAAGCTGAGCAGCAGTAAGTGGCTGGGAGGGGGCAGGGATGGAATGGGGGAGGCGATGGGGCAGGAGCCCCCGACTCTGCCACCCTGCCGGGCAGCCAGGCTCCAGGCCAGGCCACTGTTCCCTCTCTAGGCATCGAACTCCACGCGGTCTCTAGATTGGACCCCCGCACAGATACTTTCCCCGGGGCCCCTTTGTGGGTGGTCCAAGCCTTTGCCAGAGATCCCTGGCAGTGCACAGTGGGTGGACAGGAGCTGTGTCCACCCTCAGCCTCCTGGGGCTGCAGATACATGGCCATCCTTACTTGCCCTCAGCCTACTGTCCATGCCAAGGATGACCACCACACAAAAGGCTGCAAGGAAGCAGACGGGGTGGATGGGGACACTGTGAGGGAACCAGGAGCCAGACCTGGGCAGCCCAAGGGTCTGTTAGTCAATGTGAGCCTGTTAGCCCGAGGTAGTCAGTCGGTGACAGGTACACCGTGTACCTGAGACATCCTCTGCGAGCCCAGCTCTTCCCAGAAGCCCCCGGGGCCTGGCCCCCAGCCCCCCCAATTGTGTTTTCTGGCCTAATGGGCACACGGGCTTCTTCTCTGAACTGTCCCTGTGGCACGGTGCTTCCTGGGTTCCAGACTGTCAGGCACTTGCAGGATGAAGGAAAGGTCACCTTTATTTGTGCAGCCAGTGGGAGTTGGGGAGGAGGGAGGGAACCTGCTGAGGATGGGCCTCGGTTTCCCTAGCTATAAAACAACCAGATGAGTCCATCTCCAAGGTTGTTTTGAGCTCTGAAGATCTGGGAATCCAGGGAGGGAAGAACCAGTTTGTTTCCTGGACAGTAATCGTGTTCCTATGGAAATGGCCAAGGAGGAGAAAGACCCTGCCATAGGGGTCAGGCTGGGCCTCAGGGCTGGGCAGCGGTCTTCCCAACCAGCAGCCCACAGACCCTGGGCACTCTAGCAATGCTCAGAGCAGGCAGGGACTTGCCCATGCATGAAGGGCTAATGAATGTCAGAGGCAGGGAAGCCTCCTTTACATGAGGGGGCCCTCTAGGCTAGACGTGGATGGGCTGGCAATCCCCTGGTGCCACGAGTGCTGGAAAATGCCTCCGCTGTGCCTGGTGCCAGTTTCTGTCTGGGAGCCACCCTTGGCTCAAAGAGCTCATCCTTGGAGCCGTTGAGACCAGGATGTGGGCTGGGGCCAGTTCCTGGTGTCCTTTAGCTGTGATTCTTGGGCCCCACGAAGCAGCTGGGCTCCTCAGGCCCCAGCCGGGCCATCTGCCAGTGCCAGGCAGAGGCGACAACAAAGAGAGGAGGCCGACGTTCTGGCCAAAGGAAGGATGGTTGCCTGAGGCAGATGGGAGCCCTGCCAGCCATGACAAGGGACTCAAAAAGCCGGCAGAGAGGGCAGAGAGAAGCAGTTGCAGAGGGCTCAGAAAGCCAACGGAGAAGTAGGCAGCTCTTGTGGATTCTTGAGCAGGCGTGAGACATCACTTGGGGAGAGCGAGTTGTGTGGGGAAGGGATTGGAGTGGGGAGACACCTAATGATAGCTAGTGCTTCTAGAGCACTTTCTTTTTTTTTATTTTATTTTTTTTATTTTTGGCTAGTCAATGGGGTTAAGTGACTTGCCCAGGGTCACACAGCTAGTAAGTGTTATGCGTCTGAGGCCGGATTTGAACTCAGGTCTTCCTGAATCCGAGGCTGGTGCTCTATCCTCTAGAGCACTTTCTTAAGGGGTTTGCAAAGTGCTTGAGTTAGGATCCCAACTGAGCCTCTCCACAGCCCTGGGAGCTGGGTGCAGATGAGGAAACTGAGGCAGCCCAAGGAGAAGTGACTTGCCCAGGGTTACACAGCTAGGAAAGTGTCTGAGGTAGGCCTCGAGGTCCAGCACTCCGTGCTCTGTTGGTCCCAGGAGAAATGAGGACCTGAAGCCAAGGGGACCGAAGGGGCCACAGGCAAGAGAGATCTGAGACGCAAGTGCCCACGATGGGCGGTCATGTGAGGGGGGAGGGGGAGTTAAGGGGGTCTGGCAGAGGCCTGAGAAAAGGCAGTTTGGGAGGTGTGGAGGAAATGGGGACATGGAGCCCAGACAGCTCTGGGGTGAAGGCTGGGGAGGGAGGGAGGGTCTCATGAAGTGCCTTCTCCAGAGCAGAGGGGAGACCTGCCCTCGTTTGTGAGGGGCAAAGGTGCTTGGGGGAAGGAGGTGAGGGGAGGGCTGCAGGCCCGGAGAGCAGGACCCAACATGAAGAGACTTCTGCGAGGGCCTGAGGAGACAGATGGCAGCGGGCAGGGGGCCCAGCTGCACCCAGGCATGCTCCGGCCCGAGCAGACACACAGACACACCGGAGCTGGCCCAGGGTCTCTGAGGGCCCTGAGTGTGAGGGTGACTTTTCTGGAGTCACCCCTGAGGGGATGAGGCAGACTGGACCGTTCTCGCCAGCACACTGAAGGGGGCTAGGGCAGGCCTTGGTGGCCTGGGCTTGCAGAGAGGCCCCCAACCTGGCTCCAGAGTGGGTTGGGGGTGGTACAGGGCTCAGGAGCCAGCCAGGGCCCAGGGCCGGGGCCCGCCCTCATCCTCTGCTCTTGGTCATTCCCCTGCAGGGGCCCTCGGGAGTTAGCAAGCTGAGTGTGGGACGGGGCCACCTCCGGCCAGCCGGTGGTGGCGTCCAGGTAAAGGGCAGCTTTGCATCTCGGGGTGGGCCGCTTGGCATCCCTGGGGTTCTGTCTCCCTGCCACTGACCCGGGCCCTGGGGGGCTGCCCTGGCACCTGCCGCCCCCTGCACTGGGAAGGGTTAGTTAGGAGCTATTCCCAAGGCCAGCGAGGAGGGGTGAGTAGGCATGGCATTGCCAAGAGGCATGGGGCAGATTGCTTCCTACGCCCCACCTCCCCAGACAGGACAGGGCAGGGCTGGGGCTGCGGCTTCGGCTGGCATGCTGGACACAAGGAGAAGGGGAAGGAGGCTAGATCCCTGCACGAAAGGCCTTTCCCTTCTGTCTGGGGAGATGGTGGTGGGGCAGCCTGGTGCGGGGCGAGCCTTTGGGACCTAGAGTGTCATCCACCTCTCTGAGCCTGCTTCTCCATCTGTAAAATGGGCACAATAACACTCTGACCAGCTGCCCCTTGAGGCTGTGTGGATTGGATGAGAACATTCGATATCACCCATTAATTAGGGTGAATGTTCTGTGTGTCAGGTGGGGGGGGACGGGACCCCAAGGGAAGTCAGGAAGGCTGCAGCCATCCATGCTCATGGTGTCTCCTCCCCCACTGCCCTTCACTGCTGCCTGTCTCCCGTCTTCTCTCTCCCCTGCCTCTCTGTCTCTATCTCTCTCCCCTGTCTCTTTTCTCTCCCTTTATCTCTGACCCTTCCACAATTTCCTGACTCCTTCCAATGTCCCTCCACCTCCATATCTTTTTCCCAGGGCGGGAGAGGGGCCTCTGGTTTGGCTCCTGACATGCTTCTCTGTTCCTCGGCCTTGATCCCAGGCCCTGTTCCTGGCCCTTCCCATCTCAGTTGCTCCCAGAAAGGAGTTCCCAGTTCCCCTCATCTGCCTCCCTGGCCTGGCCCTTAGGGACCTCCTTCCTTCCACCCCGTTCCCTCCATGCAGCTCAGTCTCCCTGGCCTGGATGCCCAGACACAGTACAGAGATACAGGGAAAACCATGGGAACATGGTGGGGGCTCCCAAACCCGGCCACACAAAGCCCAGGTCAGACTGAGTGCCAGACGGGTTGTGGGGGGGGCCTCTGTCCAGCCTCCAAGCGCCCCAGGGAGGTTTGTGAGGGCCCCCTGCACCTGCCCTCCACCCCGGGGCCAAGCTGGGAAGTGCCTGGTCTGTCCATCCTGAGCCTTCTCTCCTCCAGGCTCGGGTGCCTCCCGGAGGCCCCGGTCCTGGCTCTGGGCTCAGGCCAGATAAAGCCACGGGCCTGGAGTCTGAGCCAGGAGGAAGCTTGGTCACTGAGTCCAATGCCCTCATTGAGGGCATGAGGGATGAGAAAACTGAGGCCTGTGCGGTGAAGCAAAGGCCCAGGGTCACTCAAGGACACAGCGAGTACGGGAACCTGGGTCCCCTGACCCCCAACTCAGAGGTCTTTAGCCTGGGCACAGAGACCCCACCCGCCCACATGTGAGTGTGCGTGTACACACGTGTGTATGTGTGTGGGGGAGTCCCAGGGCCCCCTGACACCCCCCTCTTCTCCAGGGTGAATCAGCTGATGATGCCCCCAGCGTCTGTGAAAGTCTGAACAGGGTAAGTAGGGGCATCCTTGGGGGGGGTCTCCCAGGTGGGACTCTCATAAGGGTTGATGCTCAGGGTCATGACAGCTAGGGGGCACCACAGCAGATAGAGTGCTGGGCCTGGAGTCACAAGGATCTGAGTTCAAATTCTGCTTCAGACACTTTCTAGCTTGGTGACCTTGAGCAAGTCACGCATTAAGAGCCGCCATATGCTAAGCGCTTTATAACTATGCTCTCAATTGATTTCCCAACAACCAAGAAAGCAGATCCCCATTTTATAGTCGAGGAAATTGAGGCCAACAGGAGTCGAGTGACTTCTCTTTCCCCTGGAATCTGATCAGATCCTAGATGTGGAGCCAGAAGGGAGGGAAGGGCCAGGCCCAGCACCGCCAGGCTGGTTTGGAGCTGGCCTCGACTGGAGGGCGGTGGGTCTTCCCGGGGGTGCCCCCCTGTCCCAGCCTCTCCTATGTGCCAGGCCTGTGCTTGGTACCAAGATGGAGAGGAGCCTGGCCCTCCTCAGGGGGCTTCCGTTCTCCAAGGCTGCCCAGCCCAGTTCTCCCCTAGTTTCTGGTGGCTAGCCCCTTGTCCTCTCAATTCAAAGCCTGCGGAGGTGGGTTTTACTCAAGAAGCCTGAACAGGGCCCTGTGACCCCCAGAGCGGTGCAAGAACAAAGCAGGGTTTGGGGCGGGGGGCCAGAGAGAGGCCTGAAGCTGGAAGCGACCTGGGGGGACCCTTCCCCTCCAGATGAGGATGCCTGGGCTGGGAGGCAGTGATTTGCCCAAACTCACACAGGGGGCAGCGCTGGAAGGGGGGCTTGAGCCCAGGTCCTGGAGTTCTGGAGGGACTTCTCCTACTGGGAGGGCAGAGTCCCTCCTGCCTCCTTCCATCAGCCCAAGGAGGTTCCAGCTGCCAGCCTCTGGCAGCGGCAGCAGCAGCTCATAGGAACGGTTCAGGGGTCTCTGCCTTTCCTGATTGCCATCCAAATACAGGGCCAACCAGCAAACAGCCCGACGAGCCCAGGCCCTGCGGGACAGCTCAGCCTCCCTCCCTTGTCCAGCATCCTCCATCCTGGACACTGGGAGGCTGCCGACCCCAGCTCACAATCTGCTGAGAAGCAGGGGGATGGGCGTCCTCCCTGAGCTCATGGCAAAGCCCTTGGCCTTCTTGGGCCATGCCCTAGACACGGCCCTCTGGCTGCTCTGGCTCCTGGGTACCCCCTGAGAGAAGTCCTGCTTTCTGAGAGCCACGGCCTCATCCCCCACCTTCCTCCTGTTCCTCTCTCCAGGTGTCCTGGGAGCAAGAAACGATGAGCGCTCTGGGGCCTGGAGCAGCTGCCGTGGCCCTGCCCTGGCCAAAAGAGGAGGTGGAGTGGTTTCAGCGGGCAGGGCAGGGGGCCAGGATCGAGCCTGCTTTGGTCTAAGGTCCCAGCTCCCCTGCCTGCGATCCCAAAGGCAGGAAGGCAGTCAGGTGGAGGAACAGGCCAACAGAAGTTAGCCACGCAGGGCAGTGTGACAGGCGCAGGACAGGGTGACCCGTGGCTGCCTCACCCCGTGGCTCTGGGCCTCAGACACGTTTGCCAAGACATTCAGAGATGGGATGCTTTCAGTGGAAAGCGCCCCCCCCCCCCCGCCCCAGGACTTTGTGGCAGGAGATGCTGCTGACAGAGACACATGGAGGGGTCCCCCCATGGACACACTTCACATGCTACATAGGTCCACGTATGTGGCCTGTAGATGCAGCGCTGGCTTTCCAGAGAAGCCGGCCAGCTGAGGAGCATCGGTCACTTCAGACAAACCTGCCTAGGCCAGCCTGGCGCCGTGGCTGCTGACCCCCAGCCCTGGCAGTCCCAGGAAGCTGCTATCCCCCGGGTCCACGTGGATGACTTTGTTTTCCAGCATTTCCAAAGGAGTGGACTAGGAGGAACTGGGGCGGGGGGGGGCACGGGCCGAATCTGGAGCTGCTCCGGGCTTCTCCCTGCCCCTCCCCCGTCCCTGCTTCGTCTCCCGGCTCCTTGGCCCGGATCCGAAGGACCTCATGGGATCTCCTCTCACATCCCAGCTCCAGGGAGGTGGAAACAGAGGCCCGTGTTGGGAAGCCTCCTTGTCCCATGCCCCATGACTGGTTGGTGCCGGCTCCGAGACCAGGGTCCGGGTCTCCCGCTTGGGAAGTAGGCAGCATGCCCGCTGCCCTTCTGGGGCACTTAGCAGGCAGGAGCAAGGTGGGCAGGCGTCACCAGGGAGGAGCTGATGGGAGCGGAACCCTGCCCAGGGAGCCAAGGCCACCCCCACACCCCCGTGCCCGCCTTGGAGATGGCAAGCCGGCAGGCGGGCGAGGACCGTGCGCTGCGAGCCCGGCCGGGTGTCCTGCCCGGCCCGGGGAGGGCCGCCTTCCTCCCCTCACGCCACTTCCCAGCAGAGGAATTTCCCAAATTTCGGTCACTTTCGGGAATTGAAGCTGAGCTTTGCCAGGGGGTCAGGGTCCCTTCTGGCCTGGTCTCCAACGCCCCAGCTTGTCTCCACACTAGTGGAGGTTTTGGGCCCTGGCTGGGTCAGCTGGATCGAGAAGACGGCCCGCTCTGAGCAGGGCCAGGATTTCTCGGTTGTGGGATTGACCCTGACCCTTGAGAGAGACACCCAGGCAACAGGACGCAGCCTCCAGAGTAGGGGGCCAGCAGTCAGCCAGCGAGCCTTCAGTGAGCTCCTCCTGTGTGCCTGCTGCTGTGCTGGGGGAAGGGGGGAGGGGCTGCAGCCTAGTGGGGAGCCCTCTTTCCCCAGGGCCAGGACGTGCGGCTGAGTAGCACCCCCCATTCCTGGCCTCTCTCTGGCCCTGGGACCAGCACATCTCAAGCTCAGTGCCCATCCAGGGAACCTCCTCACTTTCTGTCTTGTTTCCCGGCAGGGTGGGGAGGGCACGAGGGGGCAGCCACAGCCGAATGGGATGGCCTGGCTTAGCAGTGACCTTTCCTTTTGCCATCTCCCCCAACGGACGCTTTGTCCTTTTGGCAGCAGGTAGGGTGGGGAGGCCCCCCGAGACACCACATGTTCCCATCCAGAGCAGCCAGGAAGGAGGGGAGATGCCCCCCGCAGTCAGTGATGGAGCACTGTCCCCCTCTGCCAGCATCACCCCCCCCACCCCCTCGTGAGCTCCCTGGAACCAAAGCTAGTGAGCCAGGTAGAGACAGCACACCCACACTGCTTCCTGGACTCTGCCCGGGAGTGTGTCTGTCCCACAACACCTACGCTCGTTTACTTGGAAGGTCACACCTGCATCTCTGAGGGAGGGGCCACCCCACCTTGGCAGGGTCCCTGGGGAGGCTGCGGATGTGAAGGACCTCCCATCATGCTTCTAATACCCAGAGTTTGGTTTTTTTGGGGAGTGGGAAAGACACAGACACCCATCCCAGGGCTGCCGCACCCTGGCCCCAGAGGCTTCAGGCCTCCTGTCCCCTGCAGCAGGGGCAGCCTCGCGAGGACAGCGGCTGGATCCCTTCTGTGGCCCAATCTGGGGGGCGACCCCAGGGTTTGCTGGTCCCAAACGGATGGGAAACAGCCCCGCACCTCCACTGGGCCTCAAACCCCGCGGGAGGAGCAGGCAGGACATGCAGCCAGGGGGCCCCGGGCAGTGGCAGGACAGGCCTCCCAGCCAGCCTTGGCCATGGGCGCCCACAGGGCCAAGCTTTCTTGTCGTACAAGAACCCGGATTCAAGGTTTCCTGACTTCTTTCAGGGAGCAGAATGGCTGTCCGATTTTCTAGAGCAGCCAGGACTGTGAATTGATCTCAGAGGATGAAAGCAAAGTTGACCAGCGACCTTTATGTAAATTAATAAACCTATTTAAGGCCAGGCACTGGTCAGCGCTGGCTTCCTTGAGGGTTGGGGGGGGGTGACACCACACCAGCACCCTGTGATCACCTGGCATGCTTCACCTGAAGGGAGGGCTTAGGCAGACCCCCCCACAGTGCAGTGGGGTCTCTCCTGCCCCCCCCATGGCTGGTCTGCTCAGGGACGAGCAAGGAGGCCCCGAGGGGCCACTGGCCAGCCTCTATCTCCATGGAGAGTTAGTGGAACGTCACACATAACCTCTGGAATCATGGCTGAAAGCTGTGACCCCCTTCCTGGAGGGTGGGGCACGATGACCCAGACCTTGGGTCTGGTTGAGAAATGGGGGCCTGAGGCCCACATCTGCAGCTTAGCCTGCCCCAAACACCCCAGCTTCGTCCTATCAACACCCCCCCCCCCCCCCGCAGCCTTTGCGGGCCCATCAAGCACAGGCCTGGCCACCCACTCCAGAACTCTGAGGCCCACGAAGCCTGACCGAGCCCTGGGGCCAGGGAGAGGCGGTTTTATTGGACTGGGTGTCAAAACAGAGTCTCTGGTACGTGTAGAGCACCAGGGGCGCTCACTGGCTGCTGCCCTCGGGCCCTGGCTGCCGCGGCCTCCTCCTCAGCCTGGCCTTGGGGCTGCCGCTGCCTGTTGTGGGGGGCAGTTTGGCCTTTTTCACCAGGGGGGTGGCTGGGGGGTCAGCGTCCAGCCCGTCCTTCCTCTTCCCAACCTGGAGTTTCTTCCTGGGCCCCTCGGAGCCCGGAGCCCCATTCACCACGGCCTGAGGCGGTGGGGCCTTGCTCTGGCCAGGGTCTGGGGCAGGGGTCCCCTCGCTGGTGCCGTTCACCCCAGGCCCGGGCGGGGTCTGGCGCCGCTTTGATTTTCTCCTCCTCCTCCTCCTCTTCCTCTGCCTCGTGCTCTCTGAGGCGGTGGCGGGGGCCTCCTCGCTGTCCTCGGGGGCCGCCGGCTCCTGCTGGCGCCTCCTGCGCTTCTTGGTTTTGGGGAGGAAGCCTTTCTTCCGCTTCCGTCCTGCCAGCTCCTCAGGGGCTCCGGCGGCATCCTTGTTCTGAGAAGCCCTGACCTTCTCCTCCTTGGGGCGCCTGTAAGCGAGCACGCCCGGGTCAGGGCCCCGCGGGGAGCCCCCGCCCCCGGACACTCCCCCAACCCCTGGGTACGTACGGGACGCCCAGCAGCTTCAGGGCCTGCCAGGTGAGGTCGGAGAGGCGGCCCGTGCTGCCCAAGCAGTCACTCTGTCGCAGGGTCTGCAGCAAAGCCAGGGGGGCCTCCAGACTTGTGGGCAGCTTCTGTGGAGGTGAGGGAGACCCACGGTGCAGGTGGAGAGGCCCCCACCTCAGGGCAGACCAAGGTGCCTCCCAGGGCGGGGAGGGGGGAGGGGGGAGGGGGGAGGGGGGGCCCAGCTGGCAGTCAGATTGAGGGGGAGCCCCAGCCCCATCCACCCCTTCAAGAAGAGGCCTCCTCACCTCCTCCTTCACAGTCTTGATGAGGAAGATGAGGAGCTCCAAGGCCTTGAACATTTTGAGGTGGACGCTTTTGTTCACGGCCTTACCCACCATTCTCAGACTCTGGGGGAAGAGAGAGCCATGCAGCAGGGCACTAACGGGGAGTGTCAGAAGGGACGTGGAGGGGGCCACAGACAGGGAGTGGTGCAGGGGACACAGAGAAGGCCACGTGGCTGCCCGTGGCACTGAGGGGCAAGGAGGGAGGCCACACAGCCTCCCAGGGGTGGGGCAAGTGCTGCATGGCTCACATACCTCGGTGGTCTGCCTGATACTATCCCCAATCAGCTCCTGCCAGGCTGGGCCCTCCAGGCACTGCCTCAGCTCCCGCATCTGCAAGGCCTTCAGGAGCATCAAGCAAGCCTGGGCCTGGAAGGTCACAAAGAAGAGCCCGTGTCCCTGGTGGTCACCAGTCACGGGTGCCTGGCTGGCTGCTCTCTCCTTCCCAAGGAGGCTGCAGAAGGGCCCACCCCCCACCCAGGCAGAGTCCAGAGATGAGACCAATTTGTATCAGAGACGCAGACATACTGCTGACCCCTTGGGTTTGTGACCCTGGCTCAGGCCCCAGGCCTCTCTGGGGGTGGCTGCAGGTCCAACGAATGGGGATGAGCTTGGCTCGGGACCTGACAAAGGACGACCAGAGGGGCCCCAAGCCAGCCCCTGCCCTGTGAGGCCAACACCGAGGGTGGCCACATGCCCCATCTCGTGCCCGCAGCCAGCCTGGCCACAAGCCCCTCACTGCGTGAAGCCAACTGGTCCTGCTGGTCAGCGACTCCGTCCGCCTACGCCAGAGCAAAGCTCGACGTAGACGGAGACAGTGACCCAGCAGGAAGATCAGGCCGCCCCCCCCCCCCCCAGCTCTGAGGAGCAGGCACGGAAGGCAGCCCGGTGCCCAGTGCCCAGCAGAGCCCCAAGGGCCAGCCGAGGCAGGAGCCTCCCCCCACCCCGGGCCAGCCCCGCGTCTCGCCTGGTGGTAAGGCCGGGCTCCGGTCGTGACGAACGGGAGGACGACGGGGAGCAGCTGCTGACAGATCGTCTGTGGGGAGAGCCGACAGCCGCTGACCACACTGCCTGGCCGGCCCAGACGCCTCCCCCCGAGACTCCCAGTCCTGCTGTCAATGGGCAGGTCCCCCGCCTCCCGAGCGGTACGGGGTGGAAGGGGCAGCACGGAAATCACGGGGGCCGTGACCCTGGCTCTCTGGGTCTGCTTCGACCTCGGAAACAAGCTGAAGTGAGGAGGAGGTCGCGGCATCCACACTTACAGGGTGGCGGGTGAAAAGGTCCACAAACATGGCAGCCGTGAGGGGGCTGTTCCGCTTGGACAGGAAGCTGGTCAGCGCCTCGGTGTACAGCTGCGTCACTCGGGCCAGGTCCAGGCAGCTGGAGCCCTGCAGGAACACAGGACTGGCCACCGGAGCGCGGTGCGCAGGGGGCGTCAGGCCCCAGACCCTCGTGGGGTAACAAAGGGGTTTGAGGCATCTCTCTGGCCACTGCCCCCCACTCCGCCCGAGGCTGAGTCGGGGGGCCTTGAACCCCGCCTTCCCAGGGCACAAGGAGGGAGCTTCACTTCACCTCCGCTTGCGGGGGAGGGGAGTGGCCTTCACGGGGGGGGGGCTCACCTCTGTCTGTTGGGGGGCGTTGGCTTTTCGCTGCTTCTTTGGGGACGGGGCAGCTGGCGGCCTGGCGGTGTTCCCCTTCAGGACCCGGAGCAGGTAGAGGGAGGCACTGAGGGTGTGGGGGGGGAGAGCAGGCTCAGGCCCCCCAGCCCAGGCGGGCCTCGGAGGGCTTGGACCTCCCCCCCACAGGTCCCCAAGCAGCAAAGCCAGCCCCTCCCTGCGCGGAGCCACTCGGGTCTCCTCCGCATTCTCCAGGGCGCCCTCGCGGCCCCCTCACCTGAAGTGGTAGAGGGCGACGGCAGAGTCCGCCTGGCGGCTGGCCCGCTGCACCAGCCGCTCCAGCATGGCGTGGATGTCCTCGGCCCGGCTCGCCACGCTGTGGCAGTACTGCTTGGCCCGGCACAGCTGGTTCCTGCCAGGGCACGGAGAGATTGGGAGCGTTACTGCCAGGGAGGGACCTGCTCCCACCCCCCACCATCCCCAGGGCGGGCGCGCACTCACGTGAAGATGTCTGCCGTCTTGCGCAAGAAGTCCTGCTCCTGCTTGGCAGAGTCACGGCTCATGCTCTGCTCGATGACGGCAAGCAGGGGTTCGAGCAGCTCCAGGACCAGTGGGTTCTCCGGCTGCCTGGTCAGGAAGCCCTCCACCAGGTCCAGAACCTGCGAGGCCAGAGTGGTGGGAGGCTGCCCCCTGGGGCCCACCCCCCAGCCCCAGCTGCCACCCCCAGCACCCCACCTGGCCGCACCTTGATCTTAAAGTCACAGCGAAGGTTCTTCTCCTTCTGCATCTTCTCCTTCTCCTGCTTCCTGGCCCGCACCCGCAGCTTCTGCTCCGCAAACAGGCTGGAGAGACGCGTGTCCAGGGCCATCATGGCGTCATCGTCCAGCTCCTCGCTGCTGCTCTCACCATCGGCATCCTGGGGGCGAGGGAGCCGCCGCTAGGGAGGGCCGGGCTGGGCCGGGACCCTCCTGCCTACACCAGGCTGCTGAGGGCCGGCCCCCGGCTCACCACGCCCAGGCTTCCCGGCTAGGCCGGCCAGGGTCCCAGGCCGCAGCTTCGACTCACCAGCGCCTTCCCTGCCTGAAGCACGCTCATCAGCCGCTGCCTGAAACCGCTGTCCACCTCCCCATCACTGGCCCCGTCCACATCTTCGTCCTCGCTCTCCCCATCGTCGTCTGAGCCGTCCTCGTCTGAGTCCTCCTCGCTCTCGTCCTGTGATGCAGGCCCGGCTTGGTCCGGACCCTGCCCCCCACCCCCAGCTCACTGCCAGCCCCCAGACTCCCACTCCCCGGTTCCTACCTCTCCAGCCGTGGCCGGCCTCTTCCTCTGGCCAGGCTCCTCCGTGACCACCACCGCCCCATCCTCCCGATCGGGGTCCAGCACCTGCAGACCGAGCAGGGGGAGGGGTGACATCCCGGGCGGGGCACCGCAGCCCCTCCCCCAAGCCGGGCAAGAATGCCTGGACTGAGCCCCTGGCCCCACTCACGTCCAGGATCAGCTGCAGGGCCCGCCGGTTCAGGTGCGGGCAGATGCGGGCGAACACGCTGCGGGAGACCTGGCGCATGAGGCGGCTGGGCTGAGACAGCAGCGCCAGCAGGATCTCCACCATCACCTCCACCCACTGGGGCTCTTCCGCACCTGCTGCGAAAGGCCCCAGGGCGCACTCAGAGCAGCAGGGTCAGTGAGCCACCGCAGCCTCCGCCCACCGGGCCAGGGCACAGGCCTGAGGGTCCATCGACTGCAGCGGCCAGGGCCGCAAGACTCTGTGGGGCCTTGGCTGGCTGTGCTGCTGCCCGGGGACGTCAGAGGGGCTGGGAGGGGGGATGGAAAGGGGCACCCCCCTTCAGGGCCACAGCCCGCCCCGGAGCCCTGGGGACATTAGGAGGGGGCAGGGGGCTCCTCTGGGACCACAGCCCGCCCCAGAGCCCTGGCCTCACCGGCGGCTGCCTTCGTGGCTTTCTTGGCCTTCTTGGCCTTCTTGACCAGGGCTTTCTCGATGCAGCTCTGCAGGTCACTCAACAGGTCAACACATTCGCTGGGCACCTGGAGGGAAGGAGGAGAGGGGAGCTGGGATTCCCCGGGTCCGCTCCCTGGTGTGGCCTACGTCTAGGGCTATTTCCTCCCACCCCACCAGTCCGAGCCCCAGTTTGGACAGGAGAAGCAGAGGCCCAGAGGAAGAGAGAGGCAAGTCAAAGGTTGGAGGTGAAGCATCTTTTGGACTTTGGCCAACCTCCCCAGAGCAGACTGACATATTCCTGCCCCTCCCCACCCCCATCCCGGGCAGTGGGGTGGGCAGCCTCCCTATGTGACCTCTGAGCCTCAGTTTCCTCATCTATACAATGGGGCTAACGCCTGCCCCACCTCCCAGGGTCACATGGGGGCTGTGCCGCTCACTACCTGCAGGGGGAGGCAGGCACCGGGCAGCCCGCACCCACGCACCTTGAAAAGGTGGATGCCCACCAGAAGCAGGAGCTGCTGGAAGGCCGTGATCTCGGCCATAAGGCTGTCCTTGACCCGCTGCTGCAGGCGATCCACGGACTGCAACATCCTGCAGAGAGGAGTGGTGGGGAAGGGTCAGCCGGGCCCCGTAGAGGGGCAGCCCACCCCCCCAATGGCCGCCAGGCTCACCGGTCCCAGGCAGTCTTCTCCTCGACAGCAAAGGGCTTCACCGGCCGGACGTTCTTACCGTGGGACAGCAGGAGGTCCGCGTACTGCACCAAATGCTGGGTCCAGAGCTGGCCGTCCGCCATCATGCCATGGCCAACCTTCCCTTTGGACAGGCTTGGCACTGCCTTCGGGGCTTCTCCCAGCAAGGGGAGGGAGTTCAAGGTCTGCAGCAAACTGGGGAAGCAGGCCAGTGTCACGCCGCACAGCCTAGAACCCACCTCCAGGCCTAGGCCCCCCGCTGGGGGCCTCTGCCACTAACTAGCCCATGACCTCAGGACCAGCATTTTAATGCTAGGCCTCAGTTTCCTCATCTGCCAAATGGGAGTTATCGCTCTGCCCCAAGGGCAGCTCTCACTGCAGTTCAATGACCAGCATTTACCAGGCACCGACTGGGGCTGGAGATGCAAGAGGTGAAGGAGGGTCAAGGCAGGGGTGTGGGCCGGGGATGCTGGGAAGGGGCCCCAAAGAAGGTGCCAGGGAGCCAGCCAAGCTCCTGGGGCACCAGTGACGCGGTCAGGGACAGCAGAGGGACAGGTAGCCCTTCTGGTAGCTGTAGGGGGAGGGCTGCTCCACAGTGGAAGGCGGGGACCAGGACCCAGGAGGCAAAGGGGCCTTGTGGGCAGGGTGGGGCGAGGCTCAGCCAGGCACACAGGGGTGGTCCCCTCACCTGCCCCCCTCGCTCAGCAGATGGAGCTCATCGATGCTCGTTAAGTGACCCGCCCAAGCCCAGCCACAAGGCCTCACCTGTCAGGGGACGCACCCACCTGAAGAAGGCGTTCCCAGCAGCATCTCTGGTCTCGCTGTCCAGTGGCACAGAGACATGCTGCTCTGACTCAGGAATGTCCTTGGAAGGTTTCTTTGTCTCAAAGAATGAATGAAAAAAGCAGAACCTGGTGGGAACGGGGAGAGATGTGACTGAAAGCAGAGGCAGCATCAGGGAGGACGCGATGCTCCACGCCCGCCTCTCTCCTCCCTGGCGGACGGACGGGAAGGGCTGGGCCAGACGGGTCCGAGCTCCCTCGGGGCCCCACAGCCAGGGTCTCAGGATGGCTCCCACACCTCCCCGGCTCTCCTCTGCCCCGGGTGCCAACTCTAGGCCTGGTCCCGGGCCCTCCTTCGACCACCACACCACTGACCCAGAGAGGAACGGGAGTGGCCAAGACTGGCTCTGCCCACGTGAGCCCTCCTCCCTGGAACGCCAACCGGTCCCCTCGCCCTTGGTACCGGACGCGCAGGCCCTGGGCAGACTAAACTGGTGGACAATCGGCTGGGTCCCTGGGAGCTAATGTTACTGTCTCTGGTTGAGCAGAGAGACAGCAAGCCTCTAAACCAGGAAAACCTGGGGTCGGGCCCTGACTGACCCAACCTTGCCACAGAGGAGGTGCTACCCTGCCTTGGTGGAGGGAGTGTGCTCACTTGGGAGTCCCTGACCATCCCTCTCATTTCTCATCTCAGAGAAAGGGGAAGAAAACCACGGGTGGTACGTGGCGGGGCTGGCATTTGCATTCAAGGCTCCTGACTTGCCTGCACCCCCCTTTCCCGCCCGGGGCCCCCCGGCTCTCCCACCTGGCGATGCCCACGACAAAGGCCTCATCCTTCGTCACCTGGGCGTTCTCCACGATGCTGGTCAGTCTCTGAATGAGCCACTTCCGCAGGCGAAACACAGACCTCTCGGCCCTGGGAGAGACAGAGACGGGTCGGCGCCAGCGGCCCAGCTCCCGGCCATCCCCCAGCAGTGCTGCCGCGGCTCCTCTCGCGGGGTGCCCGGGCCCACCCCACGCACTCACGCCGCCACGCGCCCGCTTTCATCTTCCGCGGCATTCTTCTTCTGGCGGCTGGTGCTGAACTCGAGGCAGCTGCCCAGGTCGGGCCGCAGAAACATATCCCGCAGCCAGCTGCTGTAGCGGTGCAGCGCCTCGGGCTGCAGGTGCTTCACCACGGGCCACAGGCTGGGCACCACCGGGTGGCCCTGGTTGGTGAGGGAGGAGAAGGCCACCAGCACAGCCAGCTGCTTCTCGGGGTCCGCACAGCCCTCCAGGAAGGAGCCCACGTACTTCTCCATCTCTGGGGCAAACTTGAATCTTGAAGGGAGCTGGAGACAGAGGGCGATCAGGGAGGGGCTGTCCTGGCTCTCAGGGCTGGGCCCCCCCCTGCCCCCAGAGGCCTGGCGCCGCACCATCCACTCCCCACAACATCCCGAAGAGCGAGTCGGCGTCTACCTGGGCCGAGAGCACGTGGTCCCCGTATCGACGCATCACTTCTCCGCGGAGGACCATGCGGAGCTGCTCCAGGGACAGCAAGGGCAGGGCACTGCCCAGCAGGCGGAAGGCTGTGTAACTGGGGAGGGGGGAGGGCGTCAAAGCCTCCTTCCGTGCGGAGGGTTCCCTCTCCCCCATCCCCCCAACATCCTTCGATCTCAGCGAAGCTCGCTTGGTCTGATGACTTTTGGGACGCGCTCGCCACGGCACTGAGACCACGTGAGGCGGTAAAGACGCAGCATCAGGAGGCCCGGCCCGGCCCCAGGCAGCCCTTCGGCTCTGGAAGCCTGCCTGCCCGCAGCGTACCTGCCAGGCCCAGAGTGCTCCTCAAGAAGCCCGTCCTCCACCACGCCCTTCCAGAAGAGTTCAAAGGCGCCCTCCTGCAGGGCGACGCGGATGAGATCCAGGCCCACAGGAGGCAGCACCTTCTGCTTCTTCACAGACTTGGCCGCGACGTTCAGAACTTCCACCAACCTAGAGGGGTTTGAAGATAAGTGGGAAAGCAAACAAGGTCTCAGCCCAGGTTAGGAATTTGGAAACTGAGGGCCCAAGAAAGGAAGAAAGGGACTGCCCAAGCTCACACGGTCAGGAACCACTGGGGTTTCACCCAGAATTCTGACTCACAACCTGCACAGGAGGGGCCTGACAAAGCCAGGGAGGGCAGCTCAGAGCCTCAAACACCAGCTGGGTCCACTCGCTACACCTCTCAGGGCCTCTCCGCTCCTGTCCAGTCCAAAGTCTGGAACGCTGAGGCCAGGAACTGTCCCTGGCAACCTGGGACTAAGCTGACCTGGAAGAATGCCGGGGACTCGAGCGTCCCGTCTCGGCAGAGGCCTGTCTCCCCTGCTAGGCTGCTGCGGCCCCACACTCCTCACCTGCCCTCTGAGCTGAACCTAACTAGGGTGCGCTGGGGCTGGCAGCACGGCGCACCTCTCCCTCCCAGACCCAGGCCAGGCGGCCAGGGCTCCCCCACAACCAGCCAAACCTGGGGACGGTCTCCTTGGTGACCACAGAGGCCGAGCCCAGCAGCCTCTTCAGCTTCTTGGGCTGCAGGACACCTGGGAACCTCTGGAGCCCCACTAGGAGGAGCTGAAGCTGCTCAGGGGTACTGAAGGCTGAGGTGAAGTCAGCCCGGAGGACGTCCAACAGGACCCCCTCGAACACAGGCTCTGGGATCTGCGTAGGGAAGGGAAAGCAAGGCTGAAAGGGGTGCTCCCAAGGGCAGGCACCTCTTCGCCCACCCGGCCTTCCCCAGAGGCCTGAGCTGCCCCCTAGAACTCCCCCTCTGACCCCGGCCAGGTCAATCAATCCACCCTGACCCCGTGGGCCTCAGAGTCCTTTTCTGGAAAGTGATGGCCCAGGGCAGCTAGGTGGTGCAGTGGATAGAGCACTGACCCTGGAGTCAGGAGGACCTGAGTTCAAACCCGGTCTCAGACCAAACACTTGACATTTACTAGCTGTGTGACCCTGGGCAAGTCACTTAACCCCAATTGCCTAACCAAACAAACAAAAAAAAAAGGGATGGCCCTCTCCAGCTGTGGACCTCAGCTACTGTGGTCCTGGGTTGTGGGAGCACCCAGGAGGCATTCCCCCAGCCCTACCTCGGAGAGGATGTCTACCAGCGTACGGCGAGGCAGGTCCTGAAGATGGTTTCGGTGCTGGGCCAGGCACTGCAGAAGCTGGACAGCTTCCACTAGCACCTTGGGGTCCTGGGTGAGGAAGCAGCACAGAGGTGTGGTGACGGGGTGCAGAGATGAGTGAGAGAGTGTATGTGTGCGCACGCGTGTGTGTGTGCGCGCGCGTGTGGCCATGTGGCCGAGTAACAGGGAGTCAGCGGGAGCAGGGCCCTCACCTAGGTCCCAAGGCACTAGCCAGTGAGAACACCAAGGAAGGCAGGGACAGAAAAATACCCAGGGACCAGCCCAGCCCACAAGAAAGCAGCCCAGGCCAGGTTTACCTTTACCAGGCGGCCCGACTGAAACAGCGCCAAGACCCCAAAGAAGTTCCCAAAGGCGGCACTCCGCAGGAGCTTCTGGAAAAGACATTCAGGAGGGCAGTGAGTCCCCCAGCGCTTTCATGCAAACCCTGAGAGGTTTTGACACTTTACAGTGGTGTGACTGACTGGCCAAGTCACTGGCCCCTGGAAGACTCAGTTTCCACATCTCTAAGATGGAGTAATGGCCTCGAGCAGCTGCCCCTGCCTGGGCTGCTTGTGTCGGCCCCCCCTCCAGGGAGCACGATTCAGCCACTTGCTCAGGCTGCTGCCGCCAAACACCCCACCTCCCTTGCAGCCCCCTAGAGCAGCACCAGCACCAGCACCAGCACCAGCTCCACCCCAGGGCCAGGGGGCGGGCAGAGGACTCCAAGATATGGGACCTGGGACCCGGCCGTGTGGGGGAGGGAATCCGGGCAGGGGAGGGAGCGGCAGCCCTGAACATCAGGCCTCACCTTCTTCTGCAGGTCGTGCTTTTCTCTTATCTGCTCCAAGACCCCGTACAAAGGGATGTCCTCCAGGACCTGTAACACCTAGGAGGGAACCTGTGGGCTCAAGCGCCATGACCTCGGGGGTTCCCCCGCCCCACACACGCTGAGCCGCTGCTGGGCCCCCCCATCCCTTCCCACCCTGCCACTCTGGCCCCCCAGGACGGCTGAGGTTACCCAGCCCTGAGCAGGTCAGGACACTGACGGCAGCCCCAGGACCCTGGGGGTGAGGGCCTCCCCCCCAGCCAAAGCCCCCTCCTCACCTGGCTCAGGGCCAGGCTGAAGCCTGGCCTCGCTGCCTCCCAGGTGGCCCCCAGGCCCTCGATGAGCCGCTTCAGGGCGTACTGGAGCTCAGCCTCCTGCAGGGGGGAGGGAGAATGAGGCCGGGGCTCCCGGGGGTGGATCCGTCCGCCCCACCCTGCCCAGCCCCGCCCCTGGGGGCTCCCCCTCCCTCCCCGCCCCTGGGGGCTCCCCCACCCTCCCATCCCCTCCCCGGGGGC